GGGCGACAGAGTGAGACTTCAACTAAAAAAAAAAAAATTACTACACCTTTATAATAGGTCCTAAAATCTGGTAGATTGGGTTTGCTTTCTTTAGTCTTTTATTTTTATTTTGTTTCTCTTTTTTTTGAGTCAGAGTCTCATTTTGTTGCCCAGGCTGGAGTGCAGTGGCATGTTCATGGCCACCACAGCCTTGACCTCCTAGGATCAGTTGATCCTTCCACTTTAGCCTTCCAAAAGTAGCTGGAACTACAGGTGTGCTCCACCATGCCCAGCTAATTTTTTGATTGACTGTAGAGATGAGGTCTTGCCATGTTGCCCAGGCGGGTTTTGAACCTGTGAGCTCAGGTAATTCTCTCACCTCAGTCTCCCAAAGTGCTGGGATTATAGGCGCCTGGCTCGATTTTATCTTATTTTTTATTTAGAGATAGAGTCTCACTCTATTACCCAGGCTGGAGTGCGGTGGTGCGGTCATAGCTCACTGTAGCCTTGAACCCCTAGCCTCAAGCAATCCTTTGGCCTTAGCCTCTCAAGTAGCTGAAACTGCAGACACACGCCACCATGCCTGGTAATTAAAAAAAAATTTTTTTTTTGTAGAGATGAGGTCTTGCTATGTTGCCCAGGTTGGTCTCAAACTCCTGGGCTCAAGCAATCCTCTTGTCTCCATCTTCCAGAGCACTGGGTTTACAGGTGTGAGCCATGCACCCAACCCTCTGCCTCTTTCTTAAAAGAACACTTGTGTGGACATGTAAATTCCGTCTGGGTAAACCAGGGTCATCTCCCTGTCTCAAGATCATTAACTTAACCACATTTGTAAAGACTTTGAGGCCGGATGCAGTGACTCATGCCTGTAATCCCAGCACTTAAGGAGGCTGAGGCAGGATTGCTTGAAACTAGGAGTTACAGACCAGCCTGGGCAACATAACAAGACTTGCCTCTACAAAAAATTTTTAAAAATTAACCGGACGTGGTGGCACATGTTTGTAATCCTAGTTACTAGGGAGGCTGAGGTGGGAGGACCGCCTGAGCCTAGGAGGTCAAGGCTGCAGTGAGTTGTGATCATGCCACTGCATTCCAACCTGGGCAACTGAGTGAGACTCCAACTCAAAAAAAAAAAAAAAAAAAA